CTACTACTACGTACTACTACTACTACTACTACTACTACTACTACTACTACTACTACTACTACTACTACTCTACTACTACTACTACTACTACTACTCTCTACTCTCTCTCTACTCTCTCTCTCTCTCTCTCTCTCTCTCTCTCTCTCTCTCTCTCTCTCTCTCTCTCTCTCTCTCTCTCTCTCTCTCTCTCTCTCGCTATATGTGTGTGTGTGTGCACGCGCGAATGCACGTTTGTGTGTAGAGAATTTATAAAGTATTTAACCTTTTAAAGTTGTGTTCATAAAATGAAGGGAAAATGCAGATACCCTCCCAACTTGAACTTCTTAGCAACCTCCCCCCAACCAACTTTTTTATCGTACCTTTTACCCCAAAACATATTTTTCTAGCAAATACCCCCCAAGTCAAAAAAAAAGATTAAAAACAGACCAAAATGCCCTCTCCTTAATGAAAATGCCTCTCTCTCCTCTTTCCTTTTCAGCAACAAGAAAGGCGGTCCGACATGAGGTGCACTCGGTCCAGCACTTCCAACTGCCTGTTCGGCATTATACTCTCTGTCGACATAGTGTGCACACGATCAGGCACAAGGTGCCTCGATCCGGCAAATGTGCAACGCAGTCCAGCTGTTATTTTACCTCAATCCAGCACAAGGTGACATCGGTCCAGCACTGTTTTACCTCAGTCTGGCGGTTGTTTACACCGGTCAGGCATATTGTTCACCCAGTCCAACAGCTGCACATTAGGGTCCGGCAATGGTTTTATTGCATCAGTCCGGCAATTGTTTCCCGCGGTCCGACAGTTAACCTTTGGTCATTGTGCATACTACGGGGATGTGACGCGAGCTTGTACAGACAAGAGCATTTTGGTCCAAATAACTATGACATTTTGAGTTGGGTGGTATTTGCTAGAAAAGTATGTTTGGGGTAAACGTTACGATAAAAAAGTTGGTTGAGGGGAGGTTGCTAAAAAAGTTCAAGTTGGAGGGGCATCTACAATTTTCCCTAAAATGAATTTGTTTTAATTATTTCATTAAAATGGAAATATATAATCTACACCTTTTAATATAAAAAGTAGATAATAACATGCACTATAAAATTTATTTAAAAGGAACTATTGTTTACTTATAAAATTCAAATCTAATTTGAATAAGTTGTTCCGTTTAAAAAATTAATAAATTCATGAAATATTTTATTAAATGAGAAATACTTCTATTGCATAAATTGGTCAACATTGATTGTGCTAAGCCTTTCAAAAAGTATAAATATATAGTATCACTTTCTATTTTAAAAATATTATAGTAATGAAAATCATTATTAAATGGTTCATGTGAGCGAGTTTCCATAGGCCATATGGTCATCACAACACCCAATTCAAGAGTAATTTTAGAACTAACCAACCCCAAGGGAAAAAAAAAGGAAAAATTAGCAAAATATTGATGAGAGATGTACTATTTAACATTTCACATTTGCAACTACTCCAACTCGTGATTATGTGTCTTTTCCTGGTATTTTGAAATAGAATCAAACAATATGGCTAAGATCTTAAATAGTTTGATACCTCATGACAATTTTGATAAATTTCCAAAAATAAATCATGCACAATATCTATGCCCTAGGAAAGATAACATTCTAAGATTAAAAGTGATTGTCCAATTTTTTTCGACAATCCCACTTAGATAAAAGAAAAAAGGATGGAGATAATCCTCCCCTCTTGTTTTTCATGTTATATTGGAATCTAGTCTTTTTAACTTCTTTAAGATTAGAACTATTTTGTTATAGAGAATTAATTATCTTAGTCTCTCCCATTGTGTTACCCTGGATTTACTTGGAAACCTCTCCTAGTATATGAATTTAGACTAGAGTTTGTTGTATTTTTGAAGGAAGAAAAGAGAAGTTTACCTTAAAGAGATTTCAATTTCCAAGATTAGCCTTAATTTGATGCGTGAGAGAGAGAGAGAAAATCTTTGAAAGAAAGATAAAATCTTGTGTTGGATCTCAAATAGGTTAAAACTAGGTCTTTAAATAGAAGGAAATCTAAAAAAAAACTTATCTCCTAGTTTGAATATGATTTGTCTTATCTAATTTTCAGCTAAACTTTTTAGGATGAATAGGAAATTTGTGGGGTGAAAAAAATCAGCCATCATGATTTTAGGTAGAAAGATTAGGAACTTTATCCCCTTATACTTTGATCCAATGCACTCCTATTTAAAATAAATCCAATCAAATTTAAACTTTATCCTTTTAAATTTGAAATCAAACTTAAATATTTTCTAGATTTCTCACAATAGGGAAACTATATCTCATTAGAGTTTCCATCTTTAGATTTACCAAGTTTAAATTTGAATCAAATCAATTTAAAATAAGGGGGCGAGCTTATTCCACAAAAAGTGCCATGGGGCGTTTTGCCACAAAAAAAGTGGTGTAACCCCTTTACCTTTTAAAAAATATTTGTTAATAATATGGGATGCCCCCCAATTTTCCTAAAAAAGTGGCGAGGCCACTATTTCTCTTAAATAATG